ACGATTGGATGGTCAGCGGTCCAATTTTAGGAATGTTGCCTTTGTCTGGTTGCAAAAAATAAGACCAGGTGGAGGAGGAGTTCATGATTGGTCAGTTGCATTTCAGGATTGCCACACTGGGAAAATCCGCTACATTCGGGGTTCTGGCAAGCGTTATGTAATTTTTATTGTTAGGAATTGAGGTCATAGTGATAGGTGAAGATGATTTGCGACACATACATGTTTATTCCGATAATACAAAATATTTAGAGAGTGGACCGACTACATTCTTACGGAAAATCTCGACTGAACTGCCTGAGCGGAGCGGATTGCCCCAGCGCTAGAAAAATATACTGATGCACACAAAGATGCCTCAGTTGCACACTCAGTTGCGCAATGGTCCGAATTAAACATTCTTTTACAAATCCTGACATTTATGGGGGTATAGCACAACGCTACGGAGCGTTACAGAGGGGGTGGAGGGGTGTAAAAAACCCGCAAATTTAGCGTTACGCACTTTAGGGTCGGCCCCGGGGTATTTCCGAATCCCAATTTCAAAAACTAATCACCCTGTTATCGGAGAAGAAGTTCAAACGTCTCTCGCAACTCTCGGCGAAATCTTGCAGTGTCCAGTTTTCAAATCCCATGTTGATGCCGTTCTCGGTCGCTCATCCTCGAAAACGGTGCTTTTCACAGTTGCGCGACCCTGCAGTGAGGTGGAAAGTTAGAACGGTAAAGAAAATATAATTTCGCGACTCTTTTTGACTCGCTGGTCCGCTCCGCGCGCTATTAATTCGCCTTCCGCCTCGCCGAGGTCATTAGCACGGACGCTTTTGAATGCAAATTTTCCACCCCTGCTCGCGTCCTTTTTTTCAGCGGATAATTTATGTGTGCTGAGTAATTAAAATCCGGCTCCAGTGCCCCAGCGCTGAAACGCTGAAGCAAGAATTCGCTCGCGAACGTGTCGCTATGAAGGCGTTGCAAATTTGGACGCATTTATGCTAAAGGGAACTATGTGCATAGGGTTTGCGTGTGACTTAGTCCCTTTTAGCACGAATATTTTCATTCGTGCGGGTCGAATACGCAGCTTCTTAATTCGTCGTTTCGCGAACGAAGGAACGTCACTCCATTCAGGGTTGCCAGCGGTGTGGGAAACCTGGAAAGTCAGTGGAAGTCAGGGAATTTGTGGCGACCGGGAATAGTCAGGGAAAGTCAGGAATTTTGATGCGTTTAACGTTTAGCAGAAGTGACTGTAATTTGGACCGAGTTCATCAGAAAAGAACCAACCCAAATTAAGTTGTAACTGAGAAAAAGAGGTTTGAAGTTTTATGCCTGCATACGTAAAGACTCAATCAGGGTGTATAGCATCAGGATTTTTCCGATTCTATCAGGGTTTGAGGTCACTCAGGATTTTATCCCGATTTTATCAGGATTTGAGGAAAAACCGGTCGTAAAATCAGGAGTTGAGAAAATTCGGCCGTCCGATCGGATGTGTTCATGCTCTCGCATACACTTATGGAGAAATTTTAATTTTTCTCCGCAAAAAATCAGGATTTGGAAAAATTATGAAATCAGGATTTAGCAGTCAAAAATGAGGATTTCATCAGGATTTCCTGGAATTATAAAAAAAACTAGATACCCTGTCAATTTAGAAAATAAACTTTAACCCCTCTTTTCACAAACTAATTTTTTTTTTCGATTTCGAATGTTTGGCAGGAGAAAATATCGACGGTGAAACTACCAAACCACGTATCTCGTTTGCGGTGTTTAAAAATCTACGCTCACATTTTATTTTTTTTAAGTAGACCAAATCAATATCATTCCTTGAAATTTTCACGGAATTTTCTCCGCTTAAAGAGGAAAAATCACAGAAATTTTCAAGACTGGATGTTAAGTAGTTTTTCATTTAAAAAAATAAAGTATGACAGGAAGTCTGCGACGTCGCAAACCGAGATACGTGGTTTGGTAGTTTCACCGTCGATATGCGACTAGCGGAACTCAAAAACATTTTTAACTTAATTTTTTCGAAAATGTGGGTCAGTTCCTTTCTGATAAACTCGGTCCATTCATAGGAAAGAATCAAAGTGGGAGTTTTATTCAAGTGGCAGAGAAAATCAGGGAATCCGAAAATTTTAGAGTCAATAAAAAGTCAGGGAATTTGAGTATGAAGAAATTTTGGCAACCTTGTCCATTGGAAGGTTATCAATTTGGCTCAAAAACTTATTAATTTTACAAGAATATGAGCAAACAGTATCTATCCAAAATTTGACTGATTTTTGCCGGTGGCTAGAAGGAAAAGCTAGAGTTTTCCGTTGAAAATTTTCAATAATTTCCCCTGTGAAAAAAAAAAAAAAATACGGACGGAAAATTTGCACTGTTAATGCGTAATTACGTTCGCCGGTCTTGAAAATGACGAATTAGTTAGATAGACGGCGTTGACAAAAAGGGCAACAGGCCAAAAGGTCAAGAAAAAGAAAAGTTCAAAATACACGGATGTCTGGAGATAAGAATGTCCACTCTGTCAAAAGGTCCTAGTCTCCAGAATGTTCAATGTGCGGGTAACATGACTAGAAACACAAATAATGTCGCAATCTGCTAGTTTAAATAAACTATTAATAGAAGAACTTTCAAGGCTCGCCTTTCTGTCCACACAGTGCCATAGTGATAGTGATAGACCAATATACAAGTGATTATTTCAGTTAAAAGCAAGCAGAGCCAGGTCAAGAATTAGTGAAAAATTTGGTTGTATTGTATGAAACCAAAGTTTCTTTAGTCCTCGTTTTATTGTAAATATTGCAACCTAGGCCGCCATCTTAAGGACGATCGATCATTATCGTGCGGGTCGTCTATTTGCAGGATTGAATCCTTGGGATGAAAGTAATTGTTGGCCGGTGAGAATTCTTTCGTTTCAATGCTTCCAGTCACCTTTATTCACTGAAGTTTCATTCTTCCTCAATTCTCTGTCGATGAAGGATTATTATCACCGCTCCTTCCATTTTCAGTGCCGTGGCGAGGCGTGAATAGTCGATTATCGATATTATCCCGTGTAAAGCTATAGCAACGAATCGATTACTAGCATGTTCGCTCTGAACACCCTGATAATCGATTTTTTTCGTAGATTCAAATGGCATATCAATCGATTCATCGCACAGGATATATTATTAGATACGTAATTTTATACTACTTCTCATCGACCCACAGCTCTCTTGGAGGCAATATTAAAATGAGGAGCTATTATTTCTAGCTCATCCATAAAAGCACGCATCTGCACAGGGAAATAAACGGCTGACACGTTGTTTTTAAAATGAGTCAGAAAAAATAGTTCATTTTTCAAAGTTTAGTCCAATTTTTGTTAAGTTAGGGCGTATGAATTACCAGAAAAAAACGCTCTTTTACAATTATTTGGACTTCATTTTGCAATTAGGAACTACTTTTTCAGACTTTCTTAAGGAACAGCATTTGTGCTATAACATGTGGGAAAATTGTTCAGTCACCTTTATTTACTGTCTTGAATGGGTATGACGTTTCGAACAACTAATTTTGCCTGAGAACTATTTCTAATTATGCCTTATTAACTATCTGTCACATCTGGTCAGAAAATTCCGCCAATAAGTGTCAAGAAAATTAGTGTCAGAAAATTGTATTTTCTAAATTTTGTGGCAGCCCTGATTTGTAGTTTTACCCTTCAAAATTTCGAGGAACATAGCGGAAATGGTAGGTTTTAAATGTTGAATATGCATATGAAAATCCGGGACTTACTGGAGAATGAGGAAGATCGTGGATTATAAACACGGTTTATTTTTCCCTTAGCCTTTCTCGCGATTATTCTTATTTTTTTTCTGTATTTCTTTTTTAATTTTTTCAAATGGAACCCTTACTCGGTTTGCCAGTGAACACTGTAACGAAGCAGGGTTTACAGCCCTCTTCAACAGTGGCGAGGCTTGTAAAATCGACTATCGATAATTCCCGTTTTGGCGCTTTGGTAAAGAATCGATTATCAAGGTATTCATTGCGAACACCCCATTCATCGATCCTTTTCCATAGGTTTAAACGGTAGATCAATCGATATATCGCAAAGTACGCCACGCCACTGCTCTTTAATATTCTCTTCGCCTTCGCGACGATGTCTCAGTTTGCTCGACTGTCCAAAACACAATCGTGGGAATCAGGCTACGAGGTTGGCTTCCGACCTGTCGCTGACAACAGAGGGTTCGGCCGACATCCTTACACCAGGATTGAATCTAACGAAATATTAGCTTTGTCCGCCTTTACCAACCGTATCCGCGGTCGCAACCGGAGAGGAGTAAAGGCCCTTATAGGCATGACTTTGAATTCGTCCCCTACAAAGGCAAACAAAACAAAGGGAGGATATATGTCACGCTCAGATTTGCCACGGATATAGGAAACAGCAGGTCGCTTGTTGAATCGTTATCGAATGAGTTTGATGGATGACTCCCTATCTTAACAGTGCGATATATCGATCTAGGTCGTTCGATATCGATTCAACAATCGAGCCACAAAGAAAAATCGGGGGACATTTTCGAATCTGGACGAAGAATCTAAATGGCTGAGTTAAAACTAGGCCAAAGACACGTCGAGCACCTCTGAAGTTTCTGCTTGTGATGCTCCGTGCCGGATTTCAAAGAATTGGACATATTTCTGTCGAACGGAACTATGTGCAATAAGACATGAGCCCTGAGACCCATAAGAATATGTGCATTACATGGCTCACGTCACAGTCCACACGTGCATCCACACCTAGCATTGAAAGATCCAGAGCGCCTTCAATTTTTCGGTATGCAACACGGACATCCCGAAAACACGAATAGTTGCATCCACACCTAGCATTGAAAGATCCAGAGCGCCTTCAGCCTTTTTCGCTTGTGATCACAAAACGTGTCACTCATCGCAGACGTGGTTGCACGAAAATAGGGGGCTTTGAGTATTTAATCAAATGGAAAAAAAGAAATGTAAATCAGCTAATTTAGCCTAATCGAGGTTCCGTTGTTTTTTTGTTACAGTTCGTCAAGGGAAAAATCTCATTCCAATGGATCCCAACGGATTGTCCGATCCTTACGTCAAGCTGAAATTGATCCCGGACTCGGACAACGTCAAGAAGAAAACCAAGACAATAAAAGCATCTTTGAATCCCGTCTGGAATGAGACGCTAGTTTTGTAAGTACACACTGCATTGTAAAATCAAGGGGGTCCATGGGGTACTAAAAGATACCTCACCAAGAGGGTTCTTTGAGACACCCTCATCTTTGATAAGGATTATTACTTTTGGGGATTCATTTAGCCTCAAGGGATGGGAGGGGGGTCCGGGATTTTGCCCGGCAAAGTTTTGGACAATTGAATCGTCTGAAGAAAAATTTTAAGATCTTCTCACCGAAAAACCAACTATATAGTACCAAAAAAGATAAAATGTATACGCGACGCACTTGCTAACGCAGCAGGGGCGTAGCTAGGAAATTTCTCTGGGGGGGCCATGGGACCACCTCTCGTGGTGAAGAGAGCGGGGGGGGGGTGAGGAATGGAGGATCCCGTTTTTCTGGGGGGGCCAGGCCCCCCCTCAGGACCCCCCTAGCTACGCCCATGTAATGCAGTAAAATGTATCATATTTCTTAGGAGGGGCCACGGGGATTTTTGGTAACCCAGTTTTGTGTGTGTCTTGATTACTTTCATTTTTCCGAGTTGGTGTGTCTCCGTTCTCACTGATTCGATTCGACTCATTGTTAGGGAGATTTCATTGTGGTGTGTTTGTGTTCGTTTGTTTTTGCAGCGAATTGAAGCCGGAGGACAAGGACAGACGGCTGTTGATCGAGGTGTGGGATTGGGATCGGACGTCCCGGAACGACTTCATGGGATCCCTGTCGTTCGGGATCTCGGAGCTGATCAAGGCCCCCGTCGAGGGATGGTTCAAGCTCCTCACCGAGGAGGAGGGCGAGTTCTACAACGTCCCCGTCCCCGCCGAGGGCACCGACCTCGCCGCCCTCAAGAACCAAATGAAGGTGAGCCCTCAACCCTCTCCTATATTACACCCCCTCGCAAAGGGAAAATCATCACAATCGTCATACAAATTCAACCGAAAAAATCATTTCAACGGGTTATTTGAAGAAGGGCTTGACCGCCAAAAATCTCAGATTGAGTTCAGGGTGTGTACAAGTTCGGAATTTCCGGAAAGTCCGGAAATAGTACTGATTTTTTAAAGGCGGTCCGGAAGTACTGAAAAAGTGCGGAAATTTCGCAAGGAGTCCGGAAATTTGTTTCATTTTTTTGGCATTCTTGTTGCAAGTTGAGCGAGAAATTCAAATTTTTGAAATTTTTCGAATTTCGACAAATGGAGGTACTGAAAAAGTTCTGAATTTTTCTGTTGAGGAAGTGCTGAATTTTTTGGGAATGTCCGGAAAAAGTACTGTAAAAGTACTGATTTTCGGTCAGCCTGTTTTAGTAGATACCCTGGAGTTTTCGATGGAATACTCTACCGTTCACAGCCAAACCGCCGTAATTCCATTCCAAACCGTGTATATTTCTTTCATTTATACTGCTCTATCATTAGAAAACCTAATTGCAAGTAGGAAAACTGTATATAGAAAGAGTACCTACAGACATGTCCGTTTTGAGCTAAATATGCGCTAAAATGTTTCTCTGCGTGGATAATTATCTAGTTGTTTTTCCTTCGCCTTCAATCGTTTCTGCAGCAATTGCTGTTGCGAATATGTTGTGCGTGCTGATTTTAACTCATTACATATTTGACTCTCTGAAGGCGTTTTATGTGCACAAGTAGCACACTCTGTTGGAGAGCGAACGAAATAAGAACTGAGCGATTAATTGAATATTACTTCCTTTATTCTCCAACAAGGTTCGCTACTCGTGCACATGAAACGCCTTCAGAGAGTCATGTATGTAATGAATTTAAATCGGTACGCACGTCATATTCGCAACAACAATTGCTGCGGACGCAACTGAAGGCGAATTGTTTGCGCACGTGAAACGGATTCAGAGAGTCTACCAAGTGATGCTACCAAAATTGCCCTTTAAACGTCTTTTCTAAACATTGGAACATCTGCTTCAGTGGAAAAAGAGCGTAAGCTCCGAGCCACACCTCCCAGCGAATGTATGGTTTTTTCTAAAAATACTAAACACGAGGAAGGGCACAAACTAATTTTGAACATGGTCATCGAATACACATGCTATCTGACTGTCACGATACTGCTACAAATAGCAGTTCTGAGCAATTTTGTGGAGGTAGGGCATATTCGCCAATTTTTTTTTTTTAAACAAATTGTATTTCTTGTCCAATTGCTCCAACCCTTATCATATGACGGTGGTGGATGGTATGTAGAATACTGGTCAAATTTTCCAACAGAAGTATGAAGAATGTCGGAGTAATCAAGTTTTTTCATGTATTCTCAAAACTTGACTTTCAGCGGTGTCGCTTTTCTTCAAATAACCCATTCATTGCCTCAAAATAAAATGAATATAAGTCCTTTTGATTTAATTGTGTCAATTTTACGATCGACTAAGAGCAACTCGAGTTGAGATACAGATTGATGTCCAGGAAAGAATTAGTTCTTTATTATGGTGGGAAATCGCCGAGCTATTTCCAATCTACAGCACTTTCTCTCTTAACCACTTTTCTAGTCCCGCTCTTCACATACTCTCTCTTGCGTCTCTTTTCCAAAGTGTATCCGCTTATTGCTCCTATGGATTTTGTGCTTTTGCTGGCTTATTTCGCCCTGAAACTTTTTTCTGACGAATTAATAATCATTATATTTAACCTCTTCCATTTTTTATTTGATGAGACCATCTGGCGTATACCAATGTTGGAGCTTAATGGGCCTGGTACAGACCTCAGCCAGAGCAAAAAGAAGAGTTATTTCTTATGGAAAATAGCTCAAAAATCACGGGAAAGTCTGAAATACTTTTCTAACTTCACAATCGGCGCAGGAAATGTGCGTTTTTTAAGCTTCCCGCTTCAAAAACGATACTACGACACAAGTGAGCATTTCGTGAGAGGAGTCGTTCCATCCAACCCTTGTGCACTAGGATGCCACGCAGTATTCAACATGGCCGACGCCAACCCGCCAAAAAGGTCGAATTACACGATCAAGTTGAGCCATAAAATTGGGCTCCTCATTGGTCGCATCCTCACCTCAGGTCTTTTTCCACCAATCAGAGCTTCAGTTTGATGGCTCGATTCGATCGTGTAACTGGACCTAAACACACGTGATGAGACGGGATTTTATCAACCAGAGTGTTTGTATTTACATTTTCCTTGCATTTGTAAAGACTACGGTGCTTCCTCACGATTTGCGAGCGGAAGCGTCAGCCATGTTGAAAGCTGTGTACCATCCCAGTGCCGTAGCCGTAGTAATGTTTTTGAAGCGGGGAGCTTTAAAAAAAAAACCGCAAATCTCTTACGCAGATTGTGAAGTCAGTTAGTTAGTTAGTTATTATAATTTTAAGACATTCAGCGACTCAGGAAGTGTATTTCAGACTTTCCCGATACGCCTATCAACATGATTTTGAGCCATTTTTTTTAAGAACCATCTCTTTTTGATCTAGCTAAACTTGCAACGGACCCATTTGTACTTCTTGTTCTCTTACAAAAAATTTCACACAATGGAGATGTTGCATGTGTGAGGAATTTGCGATTTGACCATTGATTCTTATGTGAAAGTTCGCGAGAAACACGATAATGCCACTGGTTTTCTCTGAAATCATCTCCAAAGCTCAAAAAAAGCTCTCAAAGTGAGGCCAAAATGGAGATGATATCCCATTCTATCCTGAGAGTCCACCTCTACATCAAAACTAACTCTCCATGCAAAGATAGGGAGCAAATACATTAGCAGTGATGCCATGTTTTCAGTTTTGGAGTCCCCAAATAAAGTGGCAATTCTGCTACTTTATTTGCTCCCTATCTTTGCATGGAGAGTTTGTTTTGATGTAGAGGTGGACTCTCAGGGTAGGGTGGGATATCCCCTCCATTTTAGCCTCACTTTGAGAGCTTATTTTGAGCTTGGGAGATGATTCCAGAGAAAACCAGTGGCAACATTGTGTTTCTCGCGAACTTTTACATAAGAATCAATGGTCAAATCGCAAATCCCTCACACATGCAACATCTCCATTACAAATCTTTCGCATCTTTTGTTGTTCGTCAAAAATACTCGTCCGTATTCGTTGCGGGATCGACCCATTCCTTTCATCGGTCAAAATTTGATGATAAAATCAACAATGAAAAAAAAACTCAATTTCGAAAATCTGATCGTTATCGGTCCCTCCAATAGCCGCGCTCCTCTCGACTTGTTGAGCCTGTGCAAATGCGAACGCTGCGAAACAAGACACTTCGGAAACTCGAATGACGGTGTGAGAGAAAAGACAGCTCCGATAAGTTCCAGAACTTTGTTTATTGCCACGAAAAGTTGTTCATTTTTCCTCCGGCTCGTAACGGAGCGTCCTCGAGTTTGATCATTGATTCGAAACTTAGAAAATGCGAACACAAGCCAATTTTGTTCGAGCGAACGCGAGGCCGGCGCCTTCGCTCTGCAGAATCCTACCAGTGGCAATGGCGTGCTTTGCAATGTATCCATTGATCGGTCATTTAAACCTATGGAAAAGGACCGATAAACAGGGTGATCATTACTTTTAGGGTCACTTATAGGGTCTAACTTATTTTTTACTTTCATCTTTTGATTCATCTTTTCAAATTGAATCAGTGAGAACGAAAACACACCAACTCGGAAAAATGAAAAGAATCAAGACACACACGAAACCGAACAGTAAATGAAGAAATTAGTCTAAGAAAGAGATTTTTGGTGCCGAAATACAAGCTCTTAAGGGCAGTCTAAAGGTCCTAGTTGGAACAGATGCGCTAACTTCAATGACGTTCATAAAAATTGACCGTCTCTTATGAAAATTGAGCAATTTCGAGTTACCGAGTTGGTGTGTTTTCGAACTCACTGATTCAATTGTCGTCGGTGAATATTTGGTTTTACTTCTATCCTTAAAATTTTCGATGTAAAATATGCCTTATACTTTTTTTTTTTTTTAATGAAAATATTACTTTTAAATTTTTTTAAACGTGGCAAATATTTGGAAAACCTTTTCCAAGCGATGACATCGATATTAATCTCAATGAGCCGAAGTTGTGTTGAAAAAAACTATACAAAAATTAATAAAAGCGGGGGAAAAACTAAGAAGCAAGCAATCTTTGGTTTCAACCCATTTGTACATCGATCGTATGGAGTCAAATACGTCCAATTTGGAGCGTTTGGTTGCGCGTACACCACGCCACCACGCTGCAGCACAGTAAAAGCACAAAATTCAAAAAAAAAAAAAATTAATTGCTTTTAAATCATTAAATTTGTCACGGAACCACCTTAATATTTACAAAGCACACATTATATTTTCCTCTAATACAAATCTTTCTTTCTTCATCAATTTAAATAAAAATAATAATCCACGCTGAGAGTCCAAACATTTCAAAATCGTGAGTTGAAAAACGCTGACTCTGCGAGTTAAATATTAGAGCCTAACACAGAGCGAATCAGCTTGCTGCCAGCGCAAGCGCCCACAAACCTAAATGGATACTTCACGCATTGCGCAATGCGTGAAGTATCCATTTAGGTTTGTAGGCTGCGGCCCGCCACAGCGTGCCACGGCGCCTCAAGCAACTATTTCACCATATAGGTGTTGCACAGTATCATACGAAATTGAAGGCGTTCCAATATATTAAGAACGACAGGCATCATTCAAGAGTATGGATCTTTCCTGGCAAAATGAATCAAGATGCTACGGCACAAAAAGAGAGCGGTAGTCCAAAAACTCACTAATTCCTATCATCCGTGTTTATACTAACGTTCAGCATAATTTTTGAATTCTATTAGAGAAAAAAGTGAATCCCTGAAAAATCCTTCGACATTTTTAAGACTTTCTCATCCGGAAAATCGTGGCATTTGATTCTGCATCGCTGGCCCTGCCGGCAAGGCAAGACGAGGCGTTCATGATTGATAATTGATATTTCTCCATTCAAAGCTGCAGAAAATAATCGATTATTAAAGTGTTCATTGCGGACACATGTCGATCCTTTTCCATAGGTATAAATGACAAATCAATGGATACATCGGAAATCACGCTCTGCCACTGGTTAAGACCACCCTTTCAATTCGTCAACACTGTTTTTCCTCCATTTGATTCCATCATAAGTGATCGAATCTGTATCCCGTGTCACACTATCAAAGCTAGCCTTCAAAATATCAAGGTCAGGTGTTGTGATTGGCTGAACCGATGTCTTGGACCAATCACAGCACTTGACCTTCACATTTTGATGGAGTATTTCGAAAATGTGACACTTGCTCATGTCAGGTAGCCTGCTTCGATGTATATCGATTATTTTACATGTACTCAAATAGACTTAATACAGTGTTGTCTTCTCGCGAGAAGCCGCCGCTGTTAAACTTTACATATGCTCTCTCCTCTGTCACATCTTAAACTTGTGCACCATATTTTTTTCTCACTCTGTGCTTTGAATAACCATCTATCGCATTCCAATCTGCTTTGAACTCTTCTCTCGTGACGTACTTCATGTTACTTTCATTGCAAATCACTGTACATACAGCAGTTCTGTGCACTTGCTAAATGAGTAACTCTCTTCTCTCTTTGTGTTTTGTCCCAATCTCGAACAGGGCTCCAAAAATCAGGGCCGGCAGTCGGTGCGTGTGTTTCTCTTTTTTTTGGTGTTGTCTTTTCCCTCCTTTCTATCAGCATCCGTCCTCGCATGATTGTTTATATGTGTCAAATATCATCCGATGTAGATTGCGGGCTAATGGAGAAATTGCAGGTGTCTTAAATTTTGTGAATTTTATCTGTAAAATAATACTGCTAGGAGAACTGAGTACGAGGATATCCTCGGTTTCTAAATTGAACAATTATTGGAGAAAATATGATAAAATAACCTAATCTGGTAAAATACATGTGTTTAAACGGGGAATGCCGCCTGATGACGTCACAACGCGGCACATTTTCTCACTTTTAAATCTATTTTTTTCCAATTTCCTATGTCAGAAAAAAAATTATGAAAAATACTTCAGCTCATTAGGTACTCTCAGATGAAGCAATACAATTTTTTGTTTGCAAATTCTCCATTATCAGAATCGATAAACAAAGCGAGAGACTATGATGACGGGTTGAACTTTCCCGTTGGCTGAAACGGGTGATTTTTATAGGCCAAGGGGGAGGCTTTTTGATTAACTGTATACTATCTTTCGTGAGTTGGTAAAAATGGGTGTACTCTGAGTAGTGTGCATGATCAACCACCATGAATTGTGAAAAAAGAGGGGGGGGAAATTTATTTAGAAAATACTTGTGTTTGCATAAGCGCAAATTGAAACAAAATTGTTCAAAATAGAATCCATCCCTACTAAAGATCCTCTCGCAATGCGAAGCTTTTTAAGGGAACTTAAAAAGTTTTCAAAAATCGGAACGAAGGGTGTTCCGCTCCGACAGGTTTCAAAGGGCAAAATTATAAAGTCTGATTTATAAAATATGTCTAAGCTGAGTGCTTTCTCTCATATTTTTGCTCCGTCGTGACACTGGGACACCTGCTCCTGCATTTAACCAGAGAAGCAAATGCAAAGTAGACGCCTGACGCGCGAATCACGTAGATACGACCTGCGCTAACCTCCCCAAGTTTACCGAAGCTGAGCACCTGCAGAAAAGCTCACAGTGTTGCCGAGTGAATTTCGTATTTTCATGCAATTTATTCCTCTGAATGGATCCATCGTGCCAGTCATGGAATTATGCACGGAAAAATTAAATTTCTAGAAAAAAAGGGACTGCAATATTTCAACGTAGAATTCACAACACAAAAATGCTACTTTAACCACTATTGTAAACTAATTTAACAACGGGGGTGGTTAAAGTAGCATTTCCGTGTTGTGAAATCTACGTTGAAATATTGCAGTCACTTTTTTTCGCAATTTAATTGTTAAATCAGCACTTTAATTTTTTCCGTGTGGATTTAATTGGAATGTATAAAGGACAAGGCGCAAAAGTGCAGTTTTCGAAAAAAATGGGACTTTAACTAAAAACATAGTCTTGAAATGTTTTCTGTGAAAAATTCACTCCCTAACTCCAACTTGTAAGCATTAAAATGGGAGTTTAAACTTTCTCTCCACCATATGAGACTTTAAACACTTATTTCTCGAAATAGCAGAAACTGCAATTATGTGGCTTGTCCTCCGAGCCTCTCAATTATTAAAAAAGGCGTATTGTCGATGATCTTCCACCATGAATGATATTACATCATCACTCGAAACTTTGAAAATGAAAATAAGTGAATACTACCAGAAACAAAATGATAGTCAAAAAAGAATTTAAAGTTTAAATAAAAGCCTAATTTTTCTAAAGGCATTTTACCATGTAGGGTATTTTGTTGCCTACACTGAAAATTGAAGGCAAACTGACATGTCGTTGAAGTAACAGCTTCCCGTTCAGGCAATAACCTTTTTTGTGTGCCTGTGCGTCCCAAGTGAACTTACGATTTTAAAATGATACAACTATTCGAATCCGTGGGAGCTCGTGTTGCCTACACTAAAAATTCAAGGCGAACTGATACGGCGTGTCATTAGGAAATTCTGGACAGTACTTTAAATATATACCGAAGTTCATGAAAGATCCTTGAAAATTTCAGATTTTACTCTATTTAACTCAACGAAAAGTCCTCAGTTTTTGCTTCGATAAGCTTTCATGAACCCTGCAATCGTCTAAACTGTAGATGAGGAGCTTTTTTTAAAGTTTAATTCATGATCAGATCGAACCAGTTACTACCATTGGCGGATCCGGTGAGTCGACAACACTGTGCTCTCTCCATTTAAACCTACGGAAATGAATCGATTCCCGGAGGAACCAGCGTGCTCTGGCATGAATCGATTTTTTAGCACAGGTTTAAATGGAGAAAACCCAATTGTGCCAACTGCTGCCCTGCCCCAAGTTGCGAAAAGCAGGAGTATAATGGCCAAGTTGTGTTAAAAGTTGTCCCGCGGGAAGTAATCAAATGAGAGCTTCGCGCAAGTTTTATTCTCGCATCGTCGGAGAGCGGGGGGGAGTCAAAGGGGTCTGAAAAGCTTTCGTTACCATTCAAGTCAATTCATTATCTTTAACCGAGTAATCGTCCCCGAACGAGCGAACGCTTCGCTTTAATTTATGGCTGTTAGATTCAATTTTCGCAAGATTTCGCTAATGGGTGAATACATATTCTTAGCGAAATATGACGGAGGCTCAAGTGCCAAACCACGTATCTCCGTTCGGGAGGTCGCGCGTCGGAAATCCCCCGTCACATTTTATCCTCCGCGGAAAGCCCGATCGTAGCTTTGCACAAAATGTTGTTCCAGCTTTCCTTGTTCCTTCAACAATTTTCCCCGGAAATTTCGCGCCGAAAACTCGAGCAGTAGTCTTCTCTGAAAATAAAATACGCGGAGAAAATTTCTTCACTTCCTCGTACAGTCAGAAATCTGTCGTCTGCAGAGTTTGGCAACAGTATACGCCGTCGAATAATTTTGCGGCCAAACAAGCATTTCGCCTTCACTTCATGGAGTAGGCAGAAACACGACTTCGGAGTTGGAATAGTTGTATGATCGATCCGCAGAATCGTGTCACACACAGTTTGTGGGGTAATCAATGGACCAGTCAAGTGTACCAAAAGGCATGCTGTCGTGCTAAGGAAGAACGCCATATGGACATTCGAGAGTTGCCAAATTTTCTTTGATTAAACGTGTATTGTTGACGGCATTCATGCAAATTTTCCTTTGAAATTTTCAGATATTTTAGATTAAATTGCGTACAAAGTTGTCTGAAAATTTTGGGGGAATATATTCAAAATTTTCCCAGTCAATTCGGTTTTTTTCGAAAGAAACTTGGCAACGTCTGAAGGCGCATATGGCGTTCTTCCTTACCACGGCAGCATGTAACCTAGGAGGTACGCCCCCTGACCGCTGCGCGGTCCAACCCTTCGCTGTGCGGGACTCGATCAGCCGCAATCAAGATGCATGGTTTGGTACTTTAAAGATTGATAATTACGACTCTTAAATGTTGCTCTGTCTCAATTTTTTCATGTCTCGAGCGAATAACAGGTCTTTTTCATGATGAGAACAATTTCCCCCGCAATGCCTGAACCAATGTTCCGCAAAAAACAAGTATTGAAATAATTGAATTTTCTGTCCATCACTAACATTTGCTTTAAAATTGCGCGACCTAACCTAGAATTTTGGCGTCGACAAACTTGTTCAACTCTTTTAATTTGGAGCTTAGCTAAATCAGGCTTAAAATGATTTTAATACTAGGAGCGATTGGTTTTTTTGTCGTAATCTCGTTTCTTTACCCGAGTGGCGCCTCGTTCCCTGATAAGAAAAATGAATGCTTATTACGCTACGCACTCAGTCTTTTTTCATGAAATATTTTTCAGTTTGGCTGACGCAATGCATTCGATTTAGAGCAAAAGTTTGAGTGAGTCAGTAAAAATATCCGTTCGTCTGACTTTTTCCGGTGTTGATACTCAGTTTGTAGTTATTTTCGCCTGTTTAATTTAACGAGTATCAATAGTATCATACTTTTGAAGGCGTATTTTTCGAAGTTTTAAGATATAGCCCTTTATTTTACATTTGAAGTTGGTGTCTCAGTAGTCTTTTAGAGTTTCAGGGGAATTTTGTCTAAATGTGTGTAATACCATTTTGGAGGTTTACTTTTACGATAAGGCTCGCCAAACTCAAGGTGATTTGATTCATTTTGCGCATCGTTTTTCAGAGTCCAACCTTGCGGTGGACATGCGTTTCGCACTTTAATTTCTTCTAACGACTTTATTACCCCGCATGAGTGGTATTATCCCAGCATGCTACTTGTGTTCCGATGTTTCCGGTTTTAATTTGTATATATCTTAGCATGTTAATCCTGATACTCCAGTGAACGAGAAAATGTTCTCTAAAAGGGGTTTTCTATAAGCGAAAACTGAATTTTTTTAGTAAAATCGTAGAGTTATATTAAAGAGTATTGAGCTTGTTTCGTGTCAATTCACGTGTACATTTTGTTATGTATTCTGTGTATGTATAAATCGTTTTTGCTGTTGACTGTCATCCACCGCTGAAAAACCAGCATTAAAAATGTACTCACGCGTCATAAAGGCAAAGTGACATCTTTTCCAACCCGTCCAATGCTTTTTGATGCAAGGAACGCACGTGCGAACAATAATGGAAGTTTTGCAAACACACCACGATGTTTCAAACTACCCGCTGTCTGTGTATCATTTTACTTTTAGTGTATTTTCCGAAGGAAATACACTATTGCATTCTCCCATGATGTCGGACCCAGACCTGAGACATTGTGAAGAGCACCGATCACGGGTCGTAGATCACGAAAATATATGCTATTCAAATTCATGTGTATATATATATGTATGTATATATGTATGTATATATGTATGTATGTATGTATGTATGTATGTATGTATTTCCGCCTTTTGAAGANATTTTACTTTTTAATTTTCGAATATGTTTTTTCGTAGAAGAATAATTCTAGTCCACAATTTATTTTAAACCTTTTAAGAAAGTCCATTGAAATTTTTATAGAACTCATGCCAAATAAATAGATGTTTTGATTTCACCAAGTACCCATCATCTCAGGAAACTAACGGCAAAGATCGAAAATCAAACTGTAAAAATGCGTATCTCGTTTGCGTTGTTTCAAAATCTCCGTTATTATCTTCTCTTATCAACGGAGAACGAACCAACAATATCGATGACATTTTCACAGAATGTTCAATACACAGAGAAGGAAATTCAGAGAAATTTCCATGAACCGACGCTAAATATTTTTCCATTCAAAAAATAAGTTTTGTATTTTTCCGATACTCAAGTTAGAAATAATGTTTTCAAAGACATCCTATAAACCATTTTTTTACGTCACAGATGTCAGGAGTAATTAAATTGTTTGGAAAAGGTCTGCAGCGTAGGAAACTGAGATTCGGGGATATGCATATTCACAGTTTTATCATCGATTTTTTGTCTCTTAAATCATAAATGGACGTACTTCTGTCAAACGGAACTATGTGAATTATGATGTGAGCCCTGTTATGCATGTATCCTTATGGATCTCAGGGCTCATGTCTTAATGCATATAGTTCCGTTTGACAGAAATACGTCCAAATGAGGTCTCATCACGCAATATAGTCCAATCGACTAAAATTAACGATTAAACCTTCTATTAGTTAGAGTTGGCAACAGCACCTCTCATATCCCCATCGAATCATGCTCAGCTTATCAAAAGCTCATCAAGCTCTGAAGCTGTAATGTGTACCGAATGCAACACACCTACGCCATTGAGTATTGAGATCAAATTGTGCATCAGATCAGGTCGCATGAGTCGAACCCCTTTGCCATGTCGACGGCAAAAATCGAAAAATGCGTATTTCCATTGCCAAATTTTAGAATATTCAATTAAATTTTATCATAACAAATACTGATCATAATATCCTCTTGAAATTTTCTGCGAATCTCATTGAGTGAGTGAATAACAAGAAATTCAGTTCTGTCGCTAGGTTTCCATCTAAAATATTAAATTATAAATTATAATATTATAAATTAGAATATTCGATTAAATTTTATCATAAAAAATACTGATTATAATATCTTCTTGAAATTTTCTGCGAATCTCATTGAGTGAGTGAATAACGAGAAATTCTGTTCTGTTGCTAGGTTTCCCTCCTAAATATTAAAGCACGAGTCAAAGGCAGATCCAGCAAGTTAGCAGCATTGACTTTCCTCCATTCAAACCTGTGTTGATGAATCGATTCTTGTCGGAGCACCTGGCATCTTCGAGAATCGATACATTTCTACAGGTTTAAACGGAGAAAAAACAATGATGCCAACTTGCTGAGTCGGCCAATGGCGAGTAGAGATTCGCGATGTCGCAATCTGAGGTGGATAAAGCATTTTTCGACTTAAAGTATTGATATTATTTTTGCTTTTTCCTTAATTTCTTTTTTCCCCTTCATTCATTTGTAGATTCAAAGAACGAGGAAGCGGCATTTTTTGGCATTGAACCAGAATCATCTTAACTGTATAAGTATCACGTTGCCAAAATTCTTGTCGTATTCTATTTGTTGACAGAGATCGAAACTTCAAAACGCCTGGAAACTGTGTGTGAATTTCCATCAACATATTCAAAATATTCTTAAAAAAATCCAAGTCGGGTCATCGCTTAGTTTTCTTGCAAAAAAAATGAAATATGAGAGGAAATGTTACAACGTCTCATGTAGTTAAGATGATTTTGGTTGATTCCGTCCATTCTGTGTTCTTTGTGTCTTCTCTCTCAGCTAACAGAATAGTACTCTACCTCCGTGTCCACAGGAATTCGTCGTATAAATATTCCAATGTCGCAAAAGTCTATTAGAAAATTTTTATTTTTAAGAAAAATTGTGAACATTTTCCTTGAACTTTCAAAAAGTTTACATCGATTTACGGATGCAATTCTGCAAAAAATTAAGTATTTCAAAGTTTCTCCCACAAAATCGTATCATATACAAAGAATTTGGTAATGTTCAAAAGATCATGCTGCGTTCTTCTTTAGCAATATAGCGGGCTGATCATTGAAAAAATTGATAGACAAATAAGCGATGGACACAAACGGCGAAGGGAAAATGGAGCGATCCTATTGGTTAAAACGAGTGGCAGTTATACACCAATGGAGAAATGATGAACTATAATGATTGGTTGCCGTTGGTTACTCTTTTACTTACCTCCTTTGTCAATAGCAACCACTCGCTTCCACCAATAGGGTTTTTTCTCTATCGTTACCTATGTCTCTCAATTTCAATAATCAGCCCGTAGAGTACGTGTACTAAATTATTCCGTTTGAAAATCATGGCGATAGTTAAGGGAGTCTATTAAAGTTATTACGGCCATAAACATGTAGGAGGCTCATTGTCTCACAGATATATCGGGAGGCACCCGGCCGTGCTAAGGAAAAACGTCGTATGAACATTCAAATGTTGCCAAATTTCCCCTGTTGAAAAATTTATTTTGGAAAAAAAGTTAAGCATATTTTGCCTTGAAATTTTCAGATATTTTACATTAAATTACGAAAAATATTGTCTGAAAAATTGGGAGAAAATTATACTCAACTTTTCCAATACTGTCGTATTTTATCAAAATAAGTTTGGCAACACCTGGAGGTTCATACGGCGTTTTTTCCTTAGCACGGGAGCACTGTACTCGCCGAGGCGACAGATAATAGGGCTGCTTTTACTGTCGGAGGGGAAGATTCCTCGGCAATGAAATACACGAAATCGAAAGTTCCAACTTTGAAAGCCACATAATCGTACAATAACGCAACTCAATCGCTTTCGAGAACTTAATGGTGGGGGAAGGCGCTTTTTCAAGGGATATTGCGTTGTGGCCCGTTATCCACCATCTGGACAGCTCGTGATTGACTCCAGTGGCGTGGCGCACTTTGCGATATATCGATTGGTCTGCCATAGAAACCTATGGGAAAGGATCGATAGACAGGATGTTCGCAACGAACACCTTAATAATCGATTCTTTAACCGTAGCTTCAAATGGGGAAATATCGTTAATCGATTCTTCACGCCTCGCCATTGATTGACTCGAAGGTTTTTTCCCCATACCAAAAAAAGTTCGGTTCGTAATTCTGCCGCGCTAACAAATAATGGCGTATGCGCATTCAGACGTCGCCAAATTTCCCTCGACAAATCACGAATTCTCGGGAATATTTGTAAATACTCTTCTTCCAATTTCTCTTAGGATTAATCGCTCGCAATTGGATCCAAAATCTCTGAAAATTTCAATGAAAAATATTCATTACTTTCGTTGAAAATAGGTAAATATTTTTGAGAGGATATTTGGCAGTATTCGAATGCTCACACGGCGTTTTTCCTTAGCACGACAGTTTAGTAAAGAAAACCGTCTCCGTAGTAATTTTTTGTCGTGCTGAGGAGAACAACTCGTCGCGTCAAGGGAATGACCTATGGTGCTAGCGGGCTAATTTTTGAAATTGACAAACAAAGCGATACACAAAGAAGCAAAGGGAAAATGGAACGATTCCATTCGTCAAAATGGGTCCCTCGTGGATTGCTGTTACTTAATCTATCACTTACTTCCTTTGACTTTGCAACTACCAGCCTTCACCAATAGGATCGCTCCATATTTCCTTTGTCCATCGCTTTGTCTATCAATTTCAGCAATCAGCCCGCTAGTATAACTGGACGGAGTTTGACAGAAATGAACCAAGTTACATCAAAATCGACCAGAGAAAAAGAGGTTTGAAGTTTAACATGTTCAACCCCAAGGGGAAATGTTCGATTGCAGGGTCTTTGCTCAAGTTCATCTCAGCACTCGATAAGGCTTTGACGGCGAGTAAGAAATCCCGAAAAAAACAAAAGCACCAATACGCATTTTGACGCATGATTAGATGATTCATGTTAATGAAGGTGTTAGATGTACACGTAAAATTCTATCTTCTCTAAGATGTGCAAGGACCACGTTTCGGTTTCGGTTGAGGTAGCCGGATTTTCTCGGTCAAAAGACCCTCGAGGAACGGAATTTTGAAGAAAATCTCTGGGAATATGAAGTTGACTCTGGAATTTTTGCTTTTTCACAAGGAAAGATAATCTATTTGAACATTATTAAGCCCAATATTTTTTTAGAATAGGATTTTTTGGTATAGTGAAGTTTGAGGAGAAAAAGGCGGAGAAAAGCCTTTTTAAGTCCTTAGCTATCAGAAAGGGAGAGTGGTTGTGTTAAACCTCTGACAAATGGACGTATTTTTGTTAAACGGAACTAAGCGCCAATTTGAGTTCCTTTTGAGGATTTTAGAATCCCGGATAGCGCGTTCTGTCAAACGAAACTAAGCGCCATGGAAAAGCATTGCGAGTAGGTATAGGACGGAACGAACATCGCGTTCCGCAATACCCGCCAATCCAAACCCCCCTCTCCCCTCCTCCCCCTATGGCGCTTAGTTCCGTTTGATAGAAATACGTCCAAATGAATTGTTCAGAGGTCTATTATGCAATCAATCAGGGGAAAGACAGGGAATTGAAATCCGGAATAAAGTAGAAGCCCTGAAAATGTTCATTGTTGTCGTTAACTGAAATGAATCCATTGCATCACAGAGATTTTCAATTTCGCCACAAAAAACTGTCAAGAAAACGGGTCCCTTTCCTGTAATGAATCCAATTTTTTGTGGGACAATTCCTTTTTAAATTATGCTGTATTTTCTCCGGAAAATTCCTCTTTTAATAATTTTATCATTTATGCCATAATTTGTATAAAATCTTTTCAGAAAACATCGATCACGAAGAAGCCCGCGGTCGTTACCAGCAACAAAGATGTGCCCCACAACATGGGTCAAAAGGACGTCATACGTGCTTCCGATTTTAATTTCCTCATGGTCCTCGGCAAAGGCAGTTTCGGGAAGGTGAGAATATCTTTCTTAAGTAGGATCTGCAATATTTATGTCGCAGACAATTAGCAATCGCCGGCAATTTTGCAAGCTGTTCACACGTTGTTTCAATAAATCGCAATGGTTACGCATCGGCATAATGCAATTTCCAAGGGTTATGGTCTTCAAAAGTATGAGCTCGGCTTGAAGCGCCTTCATTTTTTGTGATACTCTACGCTTTGTCACGTTGTTACTTTAGTTGCCTGTCCGATCTCAACCCAACTAATGTCACGGAGTTCACTTCACGCTCTACTGAGTATGTATATTCCTGCTATGTTTTTAAGGGTGGAAAAGTGTCTGTTCACACCATAGGCGACATAATCAGCACTTTAATCTTGTTCTTTTATTTTTGAATTTTATGATTTTCTATATTTATTCACCACTGGCTTGTCTATGGACCAATAGACAAGGTACGAATTTAAGCATTCTAATACATGTTTCTTGACCAGAATTTCACGTAGAACACGATTTGCGTAACGAAAATGACCGAAATCAACTCCTAACAAAGATATTAACGTTTATATTTCACATTGGTTACGAGGAGTTTGAACTGCCCGCTCACAAGAAACTGAAAGCTCTACGTGAGTCAAATCGTGCGCTACAACGGTTTCAGCAAGCTTCTCAATCAAGCGATGTTCATTTCCCACAATGTACTGTTCAAACTATGAACAACTTGCAATAGCTGAGCTAAAGCGTCAAGATTAAGGTTGCCAGATTTTTATATCGCAGAGACTGTCATGATAACGTCTTTAGCGTGCGATGTGAGTCACTTAGAGTATTGAGTTTTCATGAGCGGGTGGTTTGAATTCACGCATCAAGAATCATTAAATATCTTCATAACGGGTTGATTTTGGTAATTTTCGATGTGCGCATCGTGTTTTACGTGAAATTTTGATTATGAAACGTGTATCAGAATGCAGAAATTTGAGCCTTGTCTACTGGTCCATTGCCGGCGATTGCCATTTGCCTGCGACATATATGAAAGAATAAGAAAGATCTGATCGATCGACCAATTGATACTCCTTCAATTTTCAGACGCTTCTTCAAGAATCCTCAAGAGTTAAACAAAATGAAAAGTTCTTGAAAATTCAGGAAACTTGGGCATCTAACCTTGAATTTTCTATTTGTGGCTAAGTGTTAGTAGAACACCCCTCTATGTTGCCGTAAAAAATAAATCGGCAACTTTCAGATGTTGCAGAATTTCTTTCGATAAAATTAAATTAAAAATCTTTCGTTCAGCCCTTTTATTAAATAAAAAAAATTTAGCTGCAGGATGAGAATGGTTTTCGAAAAACAATGAGTAGGGGAGAGTTAGAGATTCAAAGGGCGAATTTCCGCTTTTTCTAGCGTACCTAACTCTTTTCAAGAAATCAGCTATGTTTCTTGTCTGGCTCTGGTTGTGATTACCGTACCAATTTACGCATTCTCCTCAGTTTTTACTGTAACTTTTGCTGTACAAGTTTTTTTGGGTTTTTTTTTTGTCGGAGAGGGAGTCTTTCGGACCATTTTCACCCTCTGAATCCCTAACTTATCTCCCTTTTGTCTCGAACCCTAAACTTAAGCCAAAATTCTGTCAGAGGTGTTGATTTAAGGCATAATTTGTCTAAAACTTTGATGGTCATTTGTACTAAATTTTGCAGTTCGGAACAACAAAATTTCTCACTTGTCTTTAAAAACCTTTATGTGCTTAGGGGAATTAATGGTACATGCGCTGTTTCTCAACTGGGTGAGGAGTTATAGTTCCTTATTGCAAAATGTAGTCCATTTTGAAAAGCTGTTTTTTTACCAAGGCTCTTTCTTTTTTCGACTTCTTAGACAATAAGGCCCCCCTCTCTTTAGTACAATGTCGTCTTCAGACTTTATTTCTGTGACACTCTACTTTATACTTTTTAATTTTAATCTCCAATATTTTTCTTAGGTGATGTTAGCAGAAAGGAAAGGAACTGATGAACTTTATGCCATCAAAATCTTGAAGAAGGACATTATAATTCAAGACGATGATGTGGAGTGTACGATGGTCGAGAAGAGAGTTTTAGCATTATCACAAAAGCCACCTTTCCTTGTTCAGCTTCATTCATGCTTCCAAACTATGGTGAGTCAGTTACTTTAAATCTCAATTTGACATTTATTGCTTCTAATCTATGTTTGACGACTCATGCGTAGTGAACAGTGTTACAAATTCATCATAGAATGCTCACATAGTAGAAATTTAGAAGTGAAAAAAAATAATTCTCAAGAGATTGGTGGGAGCAATTTTTCGACTCTCAACCTATGAAATGTTTGTTCCCTAGACTGAATTATTACACTCTTGACTTCTCGAATGGTGAAAGTTTTTAATTTTTTTCAAACTATAAGCACGCTTAAAATTTTCTCTGGCCCCTCTGTGTATGACAGGGTCTTCATCAGTCTAAAAAACCGTGAGTAGTCAGGAAATTGACAGCAACTCGAAAAATCAGGAAACTCCTAGGAAAAGGCAGGCGAGTGGACGAGGACCTAGTTGGCCTCAACTTCATCTGGCGTCATTCAAAGGAGCGCAAACAACTTCTGAGTGCTTTTATCCCGTATTTCAATCTCTAGAAATGAAGATTTCGTCCATAGTTTAGCAAGAACCAACGTAATCATAAGAAAATAATCTGATTGAAGGTTATGATCGAAGGTCAGGAAAAGTCAGGGCATGAATAAATTATGGAAACCCTGATGCAGTGAACTTTCTTAAAAAAATAAGTTATATTCCTAAACAAGATGTGCAATCTAAACACAAGAGAAGTATAGATGGTTGCATACCCTATATTGGCAGGCTCTATCTTTGATCCAAGGACACTCATGGTGGAATTCGAATGCTGTCTTGACTACCTAAAAAGTCTCAAAATTACCTCCAATCAAATTAATCTTTTGAGTAGGGCCTACTAGGCTTAGCAAAAGAGTTCTTATTTTTTAAAATTATATGAATTTACGATACAAAGTCATAATTATTAGACACCATATCGCTATTCTGTTAGTGTTTTTTAATAAGCTGATGCTCATTCAAAGCTTTCAATAGTAATTTTCTATTCTCTCTCCCCCTCTTCCTATCTCTTCAAAGCAACATCTTCCTTTTCATAGTCAATGCTGTTTTCATGGAGCTTTTCCCAAATTTTTCAGGATCGTCTTTATTTTGTCATGGAGTACGTCAATGGTGGTGACCTCATGTTTCAAATTCAACAGTGTGGTAAATTCAAAGAGCCCGTAGCAGTGTAAGTGTACTTATGCTCTTTAGATCTTGAATGATGTTCTATTGTAATTTTTGGATTAAATGAACTCAGTATATTCTTGGGCATTTCTCATCTGCAGCAATAAAGGATAGGGTTGTCGCAAGATCCAGGACTTTCCTTGGAAAGAGGTGTGTCTGTTGTAGATTCTTACAAGAAAGGCGTTCTTGAGCCTCATCTTACAAACAACTTTCTAGCCGAAAAAAAGGGGTGTAACGTTGAAATCATAAGAAGAACATTTCTCAATGGCCTGCAGCACAACATGGCACTATTCCATACGACAACCCATGATTTCAACCACCTTGATGGCCAATGTACAATTAAAATCAAAATCAAATTATTTTGTTATAAAAATAAAAAATAAATAATAAATAATTCATTTCAAACAGCACCAATAATGTAAGACACGGCGGCCGATTCTTCTTGTGATGTCTTCATATCTATTGGCGTAATATTTTTTTGTTAGAAACAGGGTTACTACAAAGGCCTTTTTCTCAGTTAAAAATTCAATGGAAAACGGAAGAAGGTAGGCATTCTTATTTTTTTCATACTCTCTGAAAATGAATTGATAGAAAAAAAAAGAAGAAAGAAATGCCACATTATTCGTTTAATGGTCTTATTGTTTGAATTAGACCTCAAAGCACTCTGGACAGTAGGAAACATTTCAGGAGGAATGCTTTTCTGTTACAGAGATAATTTGATAATAGGTTGTTTAGAAAGGATTAGACCTAATGTTTTTTTGTAGATGGATTTTATTTTATACTTACATCATTTTTCAGATTTTATGCAGCAGAAATAGCAATAGGTTTATTCTATCTCCACGTCAGAGGAATCGTCTACCGAGATTTAAAATTGGACAATGTTTTATTGGACCAAGATGGACATATCAAAATAGCCGATTTTGGAATGTGCAAAGAAGGCATAAGTGGAGATAACACGACCAAAACATTTTGTGGAACGCCAGACTATATTGCTCCTGAGGTTTGCACCGACACTTATTCTCATGAAAGTTAATAATTAGATCATTTTTTAAACAAAAAAGAATCCGGTATCTGAATTTTTGGAGTTATTTTGCAAAGAAGTCAAGAAAATGTCTTCATTCTTATTTGTTATTGATTTTCAGTTTTTATCATTACTTGCCTTCTTTTCATTTTTGCTACTAACGATAATTGTTGTGAATAATCTACTCGACTCAGTGGTGTAAGCCAGAAATTTTCCATGGAAGGAGAGTTGGAGGTCCAAAATTTCTCAAGAAGAGGCACATAGGTAAAAAAAATTTAAAAAATTGTTGAATATTCTATTGTGGCGGAAAAATTTCGGGTTAATGAAGATGATGAATTCTTAAGCTACACTTGTGAATCCTTTAACTACAATTTGATAGGGATGAATCATGTCACCTAGTTTTTTTCTCTATTTTATGTTGAGGATAGGTTATAGTGACTTGATAAGGTAATCTGGTAACCAAATCTCTGATTACTGTGGTCATGAGCGAAAACGAAGCAGTCTGTATTAAATCAAACAACTTTTACTGATTTATTCAAGAAGGGAAACCAGCATTAAAACTTATCAAATTGTACCTGTTTCTTGATGGTTACTATCTTGACTGTTGAGGTCACGGGTCACCTTGTTTTTTACCTTTTACCTGTCAATTTTCATTTCTTGTTTCTTCTGTTTCAGATCATTTTATATCAACCTTACGGTAAATCAGTTGACTGGTGGGCATATGGTGTTCTGCTGTATGAAATGCTGGTTGGACAGCCGCCATTTGATGGCGAAGATGAGGAGGAGCTCTTTGCAGCAATCACCGACCACAGTGTTAGCTATCCAAAAGGATTATCTAAAGAAGCAAAGGAGCTTTGTAAAGGGGTAATTTTTTTCTTCTTTTTTTCTATCAAATAATGTTCAATGTTTTTATTCATTTTTAAGGACCTAATTTGGTTCTTGTTTTACATATAAAGCTGCATATACTTGAAGGCCTGAAGTTTCCATAAACTATCAATTATTAGAGTACAAATTTGTGTGAAATAGGAGAACAAGTAGAATTGACATATCTACCATTGAAGTAGGAATATCATCGCAGCTAGCAAATTCTCCTCCCAACACAATGGGGTACAATTTTTTTAAAATTCATTTTCCGAAACTATGTAAAAATGAGAACATCGGAATTTTATTGTTTTTCATTTTATATAATTTTAATCGAGAAAATGATGTTCAAAGTTACGAAAGATCCAATTCTACTTTAAACATAAAAATATCACGCTAAAAGATTTTGTGATATCCAAGAAGAATTAAATTCCGTATGTCCTTTCCTTAAAACTGATGTCTCCCTATAGAATGAAAAAGCTCATCCAAGCCGAAACTTTCTCTCAAGAGAGTTATGCTGTTTGGTGCGACACTAGATATGACCAATTAGGAAAACAGATGCCGTCTCCATCAATCTCAGAATTAATTCTTGAACGCATGTTGGTGAAATCACAAACATAATTTTTTTTACCGACCCATATGCGTCAAATGGCAATCAGTTTCTTTTATCTCATTGGTTGATCTCAATATTACTAGCTTTACATCGGTTTAAATGACATTAAGTCAGCGTCAAATCAAGACTTTTCTCGCGCACCCAGAATTTTCTTAGAAACAAACGTTTTCCATTAATTTCTGTCTCATTTTGTGCCTACTTATGTACTTCATCCATCTAACTAATTTTTTTGTTTTATTTTTTTGTAGCTGTTGACAAAGAATCCTCAAAAGAGATTAGGGTGTGGCTCTCGAGGCGAAGAGGACATAAGAGGTCACACATTCTTCCGGAGAATAGATTGGGAGAAAATAGAAAATCGGGAGGTGCAGCCCCCTTTTAAGCCTAAAATTGTGAGTAATTTTGAATTATTTTTGTATCTTTGCATAAGGCATCAGATCCACAATAGACTAAATCTTGTTAGGTATCTGCAAAAAAGTATGAAGTAATAAACTATCGAAACTTCAACACTTGTTTAAAAATATTTTTAAAATAATTCTTTTGCATAGAAAAATTCTAATGTATTCAAATTCGGAAGGTATTTTGATACTAAAACATCACTGATTTCCATATTCGTAGTCAAAATCCACTAAATTTTTTTGAAAAAATACTGGGAATCTGCAAAAACAACACTTTGATCGTATCTTCCAAAGGTATATTTTTGTATGGTTGGATAGCCACGAGAATAATGGATGCCTGGATGACCTTCTCAAAGATGGGCACAAAGATAGCTCCCACCTGCAGAAGATAAATGTAGGATGAACATAAATTTGAATAAATTTTGTCCATTTTTATCCAATCCATTCCTTCTATACTATAGAAACAAATTTTTAAGAGCAGCCCAAGACAATGATAGCAGTAGAAAAACAAGGATGAAAAAACAGGAAACAAGGCTAAAAATACACAATTTAAGAATCCGAGACATTTCGACTCAAAACTGAGTCATTTTCAGTCGGAAACAATAAAATTTAAAAGAAAAAACAATAAAAACGTGAGCCCTACATGGTGGCGGCCGGGATCTGAGAGAAAGAGAAAATTGATAACAAACAAGGCACATCCATGCCAGCACCGATGACCGAAAATGATCGAACGCTAGTTCGCGATCCACTCATAGATGGCAGCACTAGCCAGTGAAACCATGAAGTTCGAGGAAAAGCCGCTAGGTGTCGCTGGGGCGCCAACCTAAACCCGACTTTTAAAAAGTGAGTGGTATATTGCGCTAAGCCCACTGATGTCAGTGCGGTTATTACACACAGAACCTTCTATACCTGCCTGATGCAATGATGGTTGGATAATGGTTGGCCTTGTCGAAGGCATAATAAGAAGTAAAAACATCAAAAATAATTTCTGACAGATTTATCTAGCAATTTTGTGTTAATAATTCGAATCCGCTTGGATTTCACTGAGATGTTCATTGCTTTAAACATGCTTTGATGCACCCAAACATCCTATTTGAAATTTCTGATAGCCTTTTTTAATTTTTTCCAGAAACACCGGAAAGATGTAAGTAACTTCGACAGGCAGTTTACGTCGGAAAAGACAGACCTGACTCCTACAGACAAAGTATTTATGATGAACCTCGACCAAACAGAGTTTCAGGGCTTCTCCTTCCTCAACCCAGAGTACATCCAGCACGTTTAAATGGTTCTCATCATCGTTCCCTATAATTTGTTTTGCAATAATGTCTTAGCTACTATTTTCTAGGTGAGTCATTTTTACTCTTGTTGATCATCAGTCCTAACGTTAAAAGTTAAGTTGTATTTCTGCTGTGTTCTTCTTCTGTTATTATTTTGTTTGTAGCTCTGTTACCTATTGTGATACTAATTTATACGCTCGTTTAATTCGCAATTCGTTTAAGTGCTCCCTCCCCTTCTCTCTCTATGTATTTGAATGTCTCGCTTCAAAAATTGCCCGACTTGGAAATTAAAAATTAGACTCCGCAAATGTAAATTGCTTATATTTTTCAAAACAAAGTAATTGAAATTCGCCTGCTTGCCTATTAGTGTTTCTTTGATAGCTGATGATTGTGCCAGAAAATCATGACAGAAAATTGAGCTTAGTTTTTTTTGTCTCTTAAAAAAGGTTTCAATTTCCGAGTCGGGTGGTTTTGGAAACAAGCTATTCATTTCCTCTCAGCTTAGCTGACTGTTTGTAAACTTGTGCTACCAGTATTCTGAACTTTGGCTAGAATTCCTGAAATTTTAAATGATTGATTTCAAGGTTTTGGTACAAGCCTCTGTTTTCTTTCTCCAACTGAAGAAAAACAAAGATTGATCCCTAAATTGGGCATAAATCATGAACAGACATGTTTTTAAATACCTCATCAGTATCTGAAAGTAAACCTACTTGTTAGGTAAACTTTGCCCCCAGTATATTAAACGTTAAGCTCAAATTATATTTCGTCCACCTAATATTGTGTCAGTTCTTAAGCGGCTGCATTGATGAACCAAAAGCGTTTATAATCTGAGACACAGCTGGGGAGATAAGAAGGAGGTCTAAAATTTTTTTCCAATGGATAATTTTTAACCTCAGACCACATTGTGAAATTTTTTTGACTAAGCCTTTAGTTTTCAATTTCAATTGATGCTGAAAAATATATTCATCAAGGCGTGTAGGAAAGCCTCTTTACTTGCTTTCTGTACTAAACTAAGTAATCTTCGAAGTTTTTAAGCAGATCTCTTCATCAGATTTTTCATCATACTTGCATTCATCATGAAGATTTGTCTATCATTAGTAGTATGTTGTTGGTATTGCATCACTATTCTAGCCGCAAACATCATGAACAAATTTCAGATTACATGTAGCATGAGCCCAGTATTTATCTGGGATTTTTGTTGTACTGGGTACAAATTTTTGTTCAATATAATTTGATTCTACGCAATTTTCTTCCATTTTCATACTTTTTTACGCTTTCGATCCAGCATTGTCCTTGTTTACTTCAAATACCACCACCAGAAAGTAGTTTACCTTTGAATTGTGTTTTTTTCTTCTTTTTTTGTTAAAATGAAGACGATCCTGTTATAATTTTGAAATCCTTCTTTATCCTCAGAAAATCTGCAGTAATGCCGTGCTAAGGAAATATGCTGTATGAGCTTTCTGATATGATGAAAATTTCTTTGATAAAATATGAATTTCTTTGAAAATCTGTCAACATTTTTCTTTGAACTTTCCAGAGCATTTAATTCGAAATCATATTTAAATCAGCTGAAAATTTCAGGAGAAAATATTCGTAACTCTCCTGAAAAATACACGCACCAGAAAGATAGTATTGTGGATTTTTGGCAACCCTTGAATGTTCTCCAGGCCTTTTTCCTTAGCACGGCAGAGTAGATCTGCGTAGACTTAAGATGTATTAGAACCTGAAAATTCCTAATCAAAGGTTTTGACTGCATAGGTATCACACTAGTCGTGAAAACATGAAAAAAATAAAGTTAAATCTTTATCAAATATAAGAATCAAATCTTTAAATGATTAAGTAAAGAAAGAGAATTCTATTTTTATTTGTCTCCTCCTTTCGCAATTGAGAATAGTTTAATTTTTAAGAGAATATTTTTATGCTCAGTACCGACATTGAACGGTGACTTGGAATTTTTACACCATTGATTTTGTGTTGAGCTATTTTTTTAACTGAAAATCCATTTGAAATCTGAATGAGTGAAGCTGTTTCTAGTCTGGAACTGAGTTCTTACATTCAGATCCTTTAAGCATAGGGTTTTACTACCATGCTAAGGAAAAACACCGTAAGAACATTCAAGAGCTGCCAAATTTCCCTGGATAAAAAATGTATTTTTGAGGAAAGTCATTTGTATTTTTCCTTGAAATTTTAAGATATTTTCAATTAAATTGGGAACTAAACTCTCTGAAAAATCGGAGGCAAAACATTCAAAGATTTCCTGAAAAAATTGTATTTTATCAATGGAATTTTGGCAATGTCTTAGGGCTTATTCTGCGCTCTTCCTTAGATTATCAGTTTAGCTCTTGAGCTTTCAGAAAAAGCTTCAAAAGACATTTGTCCCATCCATTTGGGCATTTTAAGGTCTTTAAAACGTAAAATGAAAAATATTCAGTTTTAATTTTAAATTATGACCAATTGAAATTTATTCATCACTTTATGAGCAGGTTTTACCCCTGATTTGTTGTGAATTTTGAAGCTGCCGCTGTGACTTTTTATTTATTTTATATTTTAGTCCTGTTTCTCCTCAAGGGGAGGTCACAACTTGAATCATTGTTTTTATCATTTTTAAATATGTACATAACTATTTTTAGAATCCTGAAAGTGATGAAGCAGTGAAAAAAGTCCAGTTAAAACCGATTTCAGAAACTTTCGCTGATCAAATTCTAATGTGCAAAAAAACTGTGAAGCATTTATTTTGAATTGTATTTTAATCATCGCAACTCTTTCAAGAGAAAAGAGGAAATTTTATCTGTCCATATTGTTCGTGAATTTGACTTAAAGTTTTGAAATTGAAGTGAAAAAGCTAGAATGTTTTTTTTTTAAAAATATCAAAAACTCGTTAAAGAACCTTTCATTACCCAGATTTTTCTAAGTTTTCTGTCCAACCTTACTATTGAACGCAGGGCAGCTAGTTGGAAGATCGATATTAAAGCTCAACCATTTTTTTGTGTGTCTCTCATTATTAATAAACGTCTAAGAATCGCAGATGAAAAATATCAATTGCGTCTCCATCAGAAGCTGTGTTGTACCTATCTCATAAAGTTTATGCCTTCTAATTAATTTCTTTCTCCTCTTTATTTTGAGTATTTATTTTTATTTTGTTGTATTTTTAAGGAAGTCGTCACACTTCATCTTTTCTTGTAAATATCATAGTCTTAAGGTGAGATACATTCCACATGATAGTCTAAGAGCTTTGTTGTATACTACCCATAGATGCCTGGTTATTCAGGAAAATCATCAACTTGTGATCACTGAATTTTTGTGGGTAATTCTCTGAATAATTATCAAGTGCTCGAAAAATTAGAAGAAAATACCAGCATTTACTGCGAGGGAATCTTTCCCGTAAGTCATACTCCAGTGCTCTGTTGATGATGGCTCAGATGATAATGGCTCATTTTTAGTTTTTACTTTATGATAATTGTAAATTTTATCTAAATCTTTTGAACTTGAATGTTCACCTATTCAATAATTCAATGATTTTTCATTCTAAAAATGGTATCAGGATATTGAACTTTTTAAATGGGTCGAAAAATTTTGGCATAATTGCTCTTTTTATTTTGTTGTCGCATCAACTACAAGAAGTGTTGAGAATCCTTCAATGTCTGTCACGATCTGGAATATTTCATTTGATATGAACTACCATTCATCTATAATTTTTATCTAAAGGTCAGATTCGCTAAGTCTTGGTCAACAGTTGCTCAGTTTTTTTGTTTTTTTTTTTTTGTTTTAGAGCGCTATAGTATGGAGGCATTGGCCTCAAATGAAAGGTTGTGCCAAATCTTTCTGATGCATCTCAAAAGTGCTGCAAATTTTCTCTCAAGGAATAGGATACAAATTTAATTCCTTTTATAAATTTAATGCACCTTATTCTGATAGGTTTTACAGAGCGCCGGATTTAATTCAGTAGTGAGGTATAATTTCTATTCCTTGAACCCTGAGAAAAAATATCACGCTCAGGAACAATAAATTCTTCTGCGCAATGGCTTTTCTTTGCAACCAGCCTCTTGGGATAATTTGACTGTAATTCTGTTTGGGTAAGCTAGAAAATCTTGGCAGGAATACAACTGCAATCCCTTGTTCCGGGCCCTTATCTTTTTTCTCAGTGGCAATTTTCTCTAACATTACGTACACTCTAGAAGTGCCTATCACACAGATGATCCTAAACTCCAGCCCCTTATTACGTTGCAACAAAGAGTGGGTTTCTATCCTTTTCCATTGATATTTAAGTAGATTGGATTTGTATCGCTGAAAACTTACCTTCAGCATCTGAATATAGAAAAGTGAAGTCCAGTGGCGTAGCTTAGTTTGCAATGAATCGATTGATCTAAACTAATGGGGAAGGATCAATTATCAGGAAGTTTGCGACAGATATGTTAGTGATCGATTTTTTTATCATAGCTCCAAATGGGAAAGTATCAATTCACACTTCACCACTGATGAGGTCGATTTATTACAATGTAAGGGGATTCCTTGAATCTTCACTTGTCGAAGCCATTTTACTTGAAGCCAGGTGAGCAATTGAGCATCCGAAGTGAAATATGGGTTTGTTTTAAATTTTTACCTTGCCTTCTAATTTAATCTTGTTTTTATCTTTTATATAAGTAGTTGATAAATATAATGTCTCAAAGGTATTATAATTGAACATATTTTCATATCTTGTTTCAAGTGTTTTATATCTAGTTTTGTCTCTCTAATCAGTTAGATTTGGTTACCTTTAGCCAACTTCTTTATTTTCCCTCAAATGCAAGGTCAACCTTTAATCAATTTTCTATGCCTGTGAAGTTCGTTAGAGGGGTTTCTGCGTGTCTCGTCTGAAAATTTCAAAGGTGACCTAGTTCATTTGATAAAAAGTTTATAAATTAATATTTCAAATAATCTCTGGTTAATCTGAAAAACAGATGATGTCTAACATCTTTTAAACTTTTGTTTCAATCAGTGTTGATCCGAAATGTCAAAATTTTCGGCACATTAACAGTGAATTTGCAGGAATGCATATCTAGGTTTTGCATATTTGCAGACTTTCTGCGGTAGGTATTTTATTCTTCAAATGAAAAAATACCCAATGTTTTTTATTGAAAACCTCTCTTTCTCCTCTAAGTGAAGAAAAATCATTATAATTTCAAGCAATAATATTTATTTGTTCTCCTTTGATCAAATAAAATGGGAGCAGAGATTTTGGAATAGCGTAAATCAAATACGCCTTCCTGCAGTTTCACCATCGATATGACATTCAAAATGTTTTTTGTTTGTTTCATTTTTCAATTAAATAGTTGATTCATCTTGCAGTTCAATCATGGTTGAACTGGTGCTTGATACATCACATCGATCAAGTACAGAAGTTCGGAAATCTGGAGCCCTAAGAAAATTGCCCCTGCTCATTCAGTCAACAAAATTATTTGTTCAAACAAAATAACAAAACATACAAAAATAAAACAAAAATTTGCTTATTAAATGAGGATTGCATTTCAAATAACAATAGATGCCTGTTTCAAACGCAATATGAAGGTGAAACCACAAAAATGCCATCTCAATTGCGGTGTTTCAAAATTTTCGCACGTATTTTAAAATTTATTAGGAGACCAAACCAACTTCATAGCTTGAAATTTTCAGTGGATACTCTTTACATAGAGAAGAATAAACATGGATGTTCCAAAAAAAATATCATTTAGTCGTTTTTCACATAGAAACAAGTATGACAAGAAGTTTTCAATGTGGCAAACAGACATTCGCATTTCTGCAGTTTCACCATGAAATACTTTCTTGAATACTGAATCTGTTTTTTTTTGTTTTGTTTCAATCACAGATTCTTTGTTTTTCCCTCTTTTTTTGTGTAAATGATCCTATACGCCTGTGGGTGGAGACGGCTTTTTTGGCATTTAGCCTAAAATATGCCCAGAGTTTACATGATCGATGGGATGTATCTAATCTCAGTTAATTGCAAGGGGACTCTTTGAATGAATTACCTCGGAAACACATGCAAAAAAAAAAATATGTTTTAAAGCCAAGTCAAAGTCAGGACATATAATTATCTGCGAATCATTTCACTCTGTCAAACAGCCAACTCCTCATTTATTGCGTAAGTTCCTGCAATAATCCTAGATGACTTATTCCTCATCTAGAGCCTGTTTTAACCCTCTCTTGTTTTGTGCCATCAGTATTCAGTTTTAGCCTCAAGTATTATTTTTTGTTCTTTCCTTGAAATGTAAGTTATTCCAGTTATTTGAGTGTAACAGCAGAAGCATACCAATGCCCTGAGGATCATACAAGTGACATTTTTTTCCTGTAATTTTCAATCTGTTTTACTCATTTTAATTTTTTGATGATGTGAAAATCCGCTTGAATCCAGAAATGAAAAATTCTCTCGGCAATGTTGAGTCCCAGCCTAATTATGAGACTCCTTCATGTGCCATCGATTTTTCAATAGAAGCAAATGAAAATTATTAGCAAACACTTAAAGAATAGCAACAAAAGACTGAGCAACGGGTCAGTTGGGTAAGTCACAGAATCGTGTTTTGATAGTTTAAGCCTATAGATTAGCAAAATACAAGCGACATTGCTCTCCGAAAAACACGGCATATGACATCATCCACTGCGGTAGTGCATACTATGGTTTCTTTCACCTTGGTTTCATAAAAAAAGGCAGAAGAAATAGCATGGATGATATTGTAGCTTAGGTTTTTTGATGACAGATATCTTCATTAATATGGGATGTTATTTGGCATTTAGATAGATTGTATACAGTTTTGCTAATCCATAAGCTCACACCATCAGAACATGATTCTGTCACCAGCGCAAATGACTTATTGAAAAGTGAGCTTCTATTCTATTCTATTTTTTTGCTGCTGCTCTGGATACAGGAAGACCTCTAAATAATAAGAAAGTTACTTTAGTGGAATTCATCCCTTAAGAATACCCAACTCATCCAACTTTTCACATGCACAGATTTGCCTCCTCTGTAATAAATAAAGGCTACCTATGTTGTTTTTCTCATTCCAATATGCATTTGCATGACATAATTTTATGATCTTGTTTTTATTGTATGAGTATTTAAATCGAAATATTGTATACTTAAAGGAATCAAAATCAAGAAATTTATTTCTAAGATTCTCTCCAATGTATATTACTCACTCCTTCAAATCACATCTGATAGTCTGTCGGCAGTTTTCAACCCGTATTACTTCCTTCTGTAATTGTTAGTTTGATTTTTTCTCTCTTTCTTTTGTTCTGGCGAGTCTAATATTCTTTATCTATCATTTGATATTAACTGATTACTGATAAATTATTGATAAATATCTATCGTTATTCTCGACTACTGTTATTGAATATATTGATTTAATTTATTTTGCTCTCAGATTCAGGAGTGTATTCAGTCTTCTTTCTGGATGCATTATATAATATTTGTACGGTTTATTTTCGTTATGCTAGAAAATTTTTTAACACTGTTAGAACTTCAAAAGTTTTATGATGCTTCCTTGTAATGTAGTAACAGATGATTTCTTGTCCTTAAAAAGTTTGGTCTCTTTTTATCTATTACCAAATCTTAAACAATTGCCTCTTTGCCTGTCTTAACTTGAAGGAACGATTCTTTGAAGTGAAAAAATAAAAACCCATAAAACCATCTGAATTCAATTAGAATTCAAACAGATTATTAATGGATAAGGAGGCATTTTTTTCCACTTAATTTTTTCTCCTTTTATTTCTATCGTAAAACTAGTATAGAAGATAATCTCAGAAGTCTTTCAGCTTTTGAATCTTTGATCACACGGTTTTATTAGGCAATTAATATATTATATATTATTTTCAAAATTTATACCTGCTTAGTACTCCATCGAAAGGCAGTGAACTTATTTATCTTTAACAGTACAGTTGAACGCAGCAGAAACAGCCTAACCACATTAGATATCGTCTAATTTTCTCTGATATTAAATCCTTTAAACAGAAAATTGAGCAAACACCGAACCTTGAAATTTTGTGAGTATATTCTCCATAACCTGGGGGAAATTCCCAGGAAATTCAAAGGTATTAAGTAGTTTAGTTTTCTGTCGAAAAAACAAAATATGAGAGAAAATTAGGCACTCTTAATGCAGTCAGGCTATTGGGACTACATTTTGGGATAAGGCACCACAATTTCTGGCTCAGTTTAGAAACAGCGTATGTACCATCAGTTTCCCTATGCAAATGATTGTTTTTATAGATGAGCTAGAAATTGGAGCTCCTAACTGCAAAAGAAGTCCAATACTGGTTAAACCTGTTCAATTAATTACTGAAAGCAGACTTTGAAACTATTTTTAATTGTTATTTTAAAAGTTAATTTTCAAATCAAGTCGTGTAATAAATCAATTTTGCGTCCATCAAGGATCTTTGAATTGAGAAAACCTGCCTTTTTAATGAAGTCAAGTATCAAAGGAATCTCTTTTGGACAAGAAATCTATTTGCTTTTCTCTGACTGTGTATTCCTTTTTCATTCTAAAATGTATTTCAGTTTGATCTTTTTTTGGAGTGATGACTTTTCTCCAGGGTCATCCACGGTTCATCATTTCCCTTTTCTCAAAACTATTTGACAATCAGTTTTGCTTTTGTTTGAATTTTGAAACAAGTTAAGTGTATGTCCCCAAAATTTGGCATCAAAATGGTCCAATGAACCCTTTGATATGAATTTTGAAGTAGATAATTTTTACTTTGTACCGTAACCAAAACTTGGATAGTGAAGTGAGAGACACAATTGGTGAATGTGTATAAAAATGTACTTTGATAGGGCATCAGCACTAAGCTGAACTTCCCATGAAGTCTGATATAATATGTATTAGTACTCTTCTACTACCAACACTTAACATCTCATCAATAATACTGCGTGCTAAGGAAAAAAGCCGTATGAAAATTCGAAAGTTACATAATTTCCTCCAATAGAATGTTTATTTTAGAGAAAAGTTATGAATTTTTCTTTTTAAAATTTTTAGATAATTTAGATATGATCATGAATCAAATTAACTTTAAAATTCAGATAAAAATAATCGCAGACTTCCCTGAAAAATCATATCTCAACAAAATAAATGAGACGTCTAAAGGCTCATACAGTGATCCTCCTTAGCACAGCAGAATAGTTTCCCACCTTCTATATTGTACTGGTCAGATACTAAAAAAGCGCTTTTCACATTTTATCATACAATACTCTCTCTAGGTGTAACGACACTTGTTATTAAGAAACCTTTTCTGTAAAAAAAGAATCTTTTGGTCCCTTGAAATTGAAAATGTTAATTACTGCCGTTTTCTTTTATGAAAAACCGCTTGGTCTGGTGCCAACTTGTTACAGAGAGAGAGTACTGTATGTGTGTACTTTCGCCCAATTTTTCAGGAAATAATGAAAGTAAATATTCTGTCTGCTCTGATGGGATTGAATAAGTCAAAATTTTCGTGAATGCCTCGGAAATTCAAGAACCAGATGTTTTGAAACTTTTAAGTAGCCAAAACTTTGTTTCAGTAACCTATTGAACACTTGTACTTTTACTTATACTCATGCTCCTGAAACACTTCTAATTCACAAAGATAAATCTGTATATATTAAGAAGTATTCTCTCTCTTCCTTTCTCTATTCAAACAATTAACTAATTACAAGCATGTCAGCAAGATATTTATTTTGCTCCATCTTTTTGCAAAATTACTGTACCCACCTTCTCTCTTCATCTCTGTATTGTCCTCCTGAAACCATATGTTAAACATGGTTGTACCAAATTTGTTATCATTATTACAGTTAGATTTCAAATTATTTATGCACGTGTTCATTATTTTTTGATCCTTGGTCACATGACCAATACTGAGGCCTTCTGTCCATCACGCTATTTTGCTCATTATGGATGGAAAGAAAAGAACAAAATGCGTTTCTCAGATTGTGAATTTATAAGTCTTTGCTCATGCTGTACTTTGCCTGAAAATAACTTACCAAAAGTTCATATTGAAGTTTTGACATATGTGAATTTTTTCAGCCATTCTAAAAGAAACCACACTGAATTGCAATGAAAATTCTGATTGGTATTTATTGAAGAACCAGAGGCTCGTAATCAGAGGTTTTTAAACGTTTCAATTGAGACAAACTTTTTTCACATTTAGCAATCAACATGTTGCTGCAAAAAATCATACAGACAAAAATGCAATAAATTTCACCAAATGAATTGCAACCTTTGAATCAAAGAGCCGTCCAAGGATAGTTTTTGGTACTTTAAAGAAACGGCAACGTTTACAAATTTAACAGAAAAGTGCCTCAGGCTCGCATCTTATGATAATCTTTGTCCAAAAGAGTAAAACAGATAAAATTAATAGAACCTTGCGGTTAGATTTTCATGGATCTGTTGCAAGGTGCAGTTTGTACATTGATAACTGATTTTATTGCCTGTCATTTGAAATTTTACTAACTTGCGAAATAATTCAAAAATTATTTCCAAGGGCCTCAGCATGAAACTTGCACTCAGAAATACATAACAAATATTATTCGTCCTCCACTTCAGTTGAACGATCGAATCTCTGAAAAAAGATTCAAATCGTTTTCATGTGGCTCATGTAGCACTCAATCCCAGCATTCCTGCTTGAGTAGTAAAAACAAAAAAAGAGTAAAAAAAAACATGCAATAATGTTAAAATAATGAAAATAACGTTTCAATATTTTTAATCCGGTTTTTGCGCCTTATTCCTTATGGATTCATAAAAGAGTACGGAACTTAACTTCTGTTGGATTTCAGCCTTTACCTTTGTGGACATACTGTAAGAATTTACTCTTTGTGACAAAATATTCAATATTCAATATTTTACAAATCGTTAAACATAAAATGATGTTCTATGACACTTCATTATTTGCGGGCCATTTAAAAACGAACTTGCTTGGTTTGGGCCCGATCGGCGAAGTTTAGTCCACGTAACCCCTGTCGATTTTTCTCTATATTGGTCGTAGAAAAAAATCTCGAGATTAGACTCGGATCCGATGTAATTGAAGGTGCTGGATCGATTGCGCATGGTCCCGAGGCTCGGCGAGGCTGCCTGAGCCGAAAAACAGTCGAAAACTGGTCGAAAACGATCTTCTCTGACAAGCTTTTGACTGTTTTTGAGCAGGAGTCCTTTTCCGCGGATTCCTCGAAGCGACGGGCTCGCGGAGCTTTTCCGACCGGAAAATCGCACTCTGCGCTTCATTTCCCAGCGAGCTTGCTTTGTTTCAGCCCGACCGGCGAACTTTCGATTTGGACCCTAAAAATTTAGTCCATGTAACTCCTGTCGATTTTTCTCAATTTTGGTCGTGGAAAAAAATCTCGAGATTAGACTCGGATCCGATGTAATTGAAGGTGCTGGAACGATTGCGCATGGTCCAGAGGCTGAGCGAGGCTGCCTGAGCCGAGAAACAGTCGAAAACTGGTCGGAAACGAGCTTTTCTGACCAGCTTTTGACTGTTTTTGAGCAGGAGTCCTTTTCCGCGGATTGCTCAAAGCGACGGGCTCGCGGAGCTTTTCCGACCGGAAAATCGCACTCTGCGCTTCATTTCCAAGCGAGCTTGCTTGGTTTTGGCCCGATCGGTGAACTTTTGATTCGGACCCTAAAAATTTAGTCCATGTAACTCCTGTCGATTTTTCTCAATTTTGGTCGTGTAAAAAAATCTCAAGATTAGACTCGGATCCGATGTAATTGAAGGTGCTGGAACGATTGCGCATGGTCCAGAGGCTGAGCGAGGCTGCCTGAGCCGAGAAACAGTCGAAAACTGGTCGGAAACGAGCTTTTCTGACCAGCTTTTGACTGTTTTTGAGCAGGAGTCCTTTTCCGCGGATTCCTCGAAGCGACGGGCTCGCGGAGCTTTTCCGACCGGAAAATCGCACTCTGCGCTTCATTTCCCAGCGAGCTTGCTTTGTTTCAGCCCGACCGGCGAACTTTCGATTTGGACCCTAAAAATTTAGTCCATGTAACCATTGTAACCCCTGTCGATTTTCTTCGATTTTGGATTGAGGAAAAAATTGCGAGATTTCAGTCGCAACCTACGTAATGGGAGGCGTAGAATCGATTCCACACGGTCCCGACTCCCAGTGAGGCATCTTAAGCCGAGAAAGGATCAAGAACTGGTCAAAAACGAGTGTTTCTGATCACTTTTTGACCGTTTCTCTGGGGCGTTTTCTGCGAATAGCTCGAAGCGAGGGACTCGCGGAGCTTTTCCGACTAGAAAATCGCACTCAACGGGTCAATTCAAAGCGAGCATGCTTGGTTTCGGCCGGATCGGCGAACTTTCGATTTCGACCCTAAGCATTTAGTCCTTGTAACCCCTGTCGATTTTCCTCGATTTTTGACAGAGGCAAAAATTGCGAGTTTTCAGTCGCATCTTACGTAATTGGAGGCGTAGAATCGATTCTGCACGGTCTCGACTCTCGGCGAGGCTTCCTAAGCCGAGAAAGGATGAAAAACTGGTCATAAACGAGTGTTTCTGATCGCTTTTTGACCGTTTCTCTGGGGCGTTTTATGCGGATGGCTCAAAGCGAGGGACTCGCGGAGCTTTTCTGACTGGAAAATCGCACTCAGGGGGTCATTTCCAATCGGCAAAGCTTGCTTTCGGCTCGATCGGCGAACTTTCGATTTTGACGCTAAAAATTTAGTCCATGTAACGCCTGTCGATTTTCCTATATTTTGGAGTGAGAAAAAAAATTCGAGATTTCAGTCAGGATCAAGAACTGGTCAAAAACGAGTGTTTCTGACCACGTTTCCAGTCGAGCAGAGTTTACGGTTGTCGATTTCCGGTTAAGTAAAATTTGGCCGGACGATTGGTCGATTGATTTGAGTTTCCGGTGGGTAAGATCACCGGTTAAGTAAAGTTTTGGTTAGCAGGGTTAGATCAGGTTTTCGGTTGAATAGGATTTGTGGTAAATTTGAGTTTCCAGTTAAATTAAAGATTCAGTTAAGTGAATCAAGTGTCCCGTTTAATTGAACGATCTCAATTTTTTAATTAACGATTTGCGTTGTGCACTAAGTTCATAGATTTTTGAATCCAAGAATTCCGAGGGATGCACCAGAAACAAAAAAGAAACACACATACCGATTAGAAGAGAGAAAAGGACATGTAAACTTAAATATTTAAATAAATATCTCTGAAATCGCAGGGAGTCAGCAATCGCCGGCAATTTGCAAGCTCCGTACTTGTCAATTCGTCAAATTGTAATCACGATAACATCGATGTATTGAAGATTTCTTCACGCCTTCAAATCCAGCGATACTCTCCGCTTTGCCAAGGAGTTAGTTTAGTTGCTTAACCGAACCTAGCACAGATTATTGATGACATTTCACGAACTCGCGAGTGTGCTAGCGGGCACCAGGCATCCAAGTAGAAGGGGCTAACATATAATTGAATTCAAAGCATAATAATCCCTATCTCTAATCTCGTTTTTTCACTTAAAAACGATTTAATTTGTTGATCAAACACGAATAGATTGCAATTTGCCGGCGATCGTTCATTGCCTGCAGCATATATACCGAAGAATGTATGTAAAGAAATTAATGAGAAAAAAAATTACTGACTGAACAATCAAAATCACTTTCTGTGCGAATGTTAATTAAACAATACTAACGCACCATATCAATGGTGAAAGTGCAGGAATGCGAAACTCGGAAAACACGATTTTCTAGGAGAGTCAAAAAACTGTCTGCATTCCTCTTCTTTGTCGGTAGAAGGGTAATAATTCTTGAGGATAGCAAGAATAAGATGTTTTTTCAAACTCCATCAGCGGTTTCAATAATTTCTCGAACTGTTAAAATACGACAGAAATGCCGAGATTCGCGTTTTTGGCGGGAGATACGAATTTTTGCAATTAGTGTTTTAAACTTGTTGACGGATTTGGATCTTTTAAAGACTGAAGAAAGGGTGTCACACTTATCAGATAACATTTAGTTGGTCATCGATGCTCCATCCATCCATGCGTTACGCTTTCCTAATGGACCAGTGGACAAAGTACCTTATCTTCGCAATTTTGATTATTCACATTTAATCAAATAAAGATAATTTTATCCGTCCGGAACTGTTTAAATTCACAACCGCTTTTGAGTAAGTTGCGATCTTGTGAACGGCGACTCTTTCCGTTTCGCTTCAGAATACGATGAAAGAACCAAAGGACTTAAAATACACAATCTGATCAAGCCACCTGCGCTCTCTTCTTTGCAATAAGACGTGGAGACCGAAAACAATATTATTATTCTTTCAAAATAATATTCCTGGGCATAATCGGCATATTCGAATATCCGGCTCGATTAAAAACCAAAACTTATTAACTTTTTGGCCAATATCATTGTACAAGGCTACTCATAATGGATACAGAATATGAGCGCCTTCAAATCAATCCGTAAACTTAATGCAAAATTCTGATACCACTATTCGTGCTTCACGACAGTCATTTTGCATACCCGGCCATTTGAAGGCGAATCACCGCTTCAGGCTACGGGATACGAATAAAAGCAATGTCATTCGATATTCAATCGAGGAGCCAAAGCCCAAATCGATATTCCTCGATTTTGGACTCAGAAAAAAAAATCGAGATTTCAGTCGCACCCTAATTATTTGGAGGCGTAGAATCGATTCCGCACGGTCCGGACTCTCGGCGAGACTTCCCGAGAAATAGTAAAAAACGAGCTTTTCAGACCACTTTTTGACTCTTTCTCTGGAGCGTTTTCAGCGGATAGCTCAAGCGAGGGATTGGCGGAGCTTTTCTGACTGAAAATCGCACTCAGGGGGTCATTTCCAAGCGGCCAAGCTTGCTTTCG